AGCATGTTAAACAACACTATAATCTAGCCAGGTGCAAGTGTTTGATGGGACTTTGACATAAGCATGCTGACTTTAGGGCTATAATGAAGATCTTACAGGTCAAGACAGAGCCCCGTCCCGTAAGAACAAAAATGGACTTGGAACTTGAGATGCTAGATTGAGGTTAATCATATTTTCACAGAATAAAAAGTTGCTGTTACAGGAAAATAGGTTTTTATTTTTCACAACACTGAGTCTTCATGTTGTCTGGACATGCTCCCTTTGACAGTAAAAGAAGGCTACAGGCCTCGCCTCTTTGAATAACTTTAACATTGGCACAGTTGTTTTGCCCGTAAAGCATACAGAGGACCTGCTGAAACAAGCAGGGTTTATTTCTGTTTGTTCTTCATGCTAGTGAGCACTCGTTCACGTGTCTTTTTATTTGAGAGAAAAACAAGTAAAAATATTTCATGCTTGTTTTAGTAAATTAGCCAACTTGCTCACATAACAGATATTTGTGGTTCGTTACTTCTTAAATAAAAATTAATGACATTTGGACATACGAGCTCTCGTCAGACCATCCAGGTTATCCCAGGTCATGAATGTGGGGAAGTTCATTTTTCCACAATTACATTTATCTATCACCTCTAACTGAATGTACACCTTAAGTTTTGGTTATAAATGCCTTGAGCTTTTTCCAGGCTTCTTTACTGACACGGGCTAATAATAACTCAATGCCAGGTGCACTGCACATGCATGGCTTTTTCAAACATCTATATATCTTTATCTATCTATCTATCTATCTATCTATCTATCTATCTATCTATCTATCTATCTATCTATCTATCTATCTATCTATCTATCTATCTATCTATCTATCTATCTATCTATCTATCTATCTATCTATCATCATCTATCTATCTATCTATCTATCATCATCTATCTATCTATCTATCTATCATCTATCTATCTATCCTTTTTGGAGATTTAGGTACTGAACAGGAGCAAGACATGATAAATGATAAATGACCCACACTTGTATAGAGCCTCTCAGAGTAAGGACTCCAAAGCGCTTTACACTACAGTGTATCATTCATCCATTCACACACCCATTCACACGTTGGTGGTGATGAGCTACGATGTAGCAACAGCTGCCCTGGGGCGCACTGACAGAGGCGAGGCTGCAGAGCACAGGCGCCACCCGTTAAGTGCCTTGCCCAAGGACACAACAGCAGAATTCTCTGTCTGGAGGCGGGATCGAACCTGCATCCTTCCGATTACTGGATAACCCTCTCAACCTGTTGGGCTGCTGCTGCCCCCGTGATCTCCTCTCATAAAAAGTGTAAAGTTGCCATTAAGTGAAGCTGTCCTATCCTTCAATTACCAAAAAGAGGGTGGGTGGTGGGGTTGTTTCAGCAACAGGAGTCTCCAGGTCTCAGACGAATGTTCTCAATCATCTTCTTGCATCAACAATCTGATACTCTCTTTGGCATTAGAGGAAGAAGATGGAGAAGAAGAAACAATCTTTTAAATAGGGCCTCCCAAGAAAAAAATCACAAGGTGCTTCACAAAGGCAGAAAATGTTTTAAAAAAATAAACTTTATTTAAATTATTTTAAAATATCATAAAAATTTGGAAAAATAAAAATTGCAGTTAAAATGTGTGAAAGGGAAATATAAAAAGAAAATGTAATCAGTGGATCCCAGGAAAGGCAGAATTGGCAAAGAGCAGAATGAAGAAGAGGTAGAGATGAAGAATCAGCCGAAGGTCATACAAAAGCCAGCCTGAACAGGTGAGTTTTCAGCTGCTGTAGCTTACAGCTACATGCTTACAGCTGCAAATACCTGCTCTAATAACGACAGACACAATACACACTTCCACATCAGCTTTTCATGACCGCAGGAACACCAGGAAACATTTTTGCTTGATTTGATAAGTCACAATCTGTTAAAATTTTATTTAACAGGAGCAACAAGGTGGAGCCCAAAGCTTCTGATGAAAATCACAGCAACAAGCAGAAATGCAGTTTTCATATGGCGCCAGTTTCTTTGTCTTAATCAAGGTTGAAGTAATAAAAGGTACTGTTGCAAACTACAGAGTGCAGTAGTCCCCTTGACAAGAGTAATGGTGCATCTTTTGTAATCTATGATCTAACTACTGTTGTTTATATCTTAAAAAAGCATAACTTAAAAAAATGGTAATGAAACCACTTTGCTCGGACCTCTATCTATTCTGTGGTCTAAATTGCTGTTCTACTTCCGGCACTCAAGGAGAGCTTTTCTCTTTTATCTACATAATGGGAACGCCATAAATGGCTGCCTGCCGACAGTAAAACCATTTTCCTGTCTACGAGATTCATGTGCTGTATGTCTGATCTTGGAATGATTGTACTGAAACTACATTTCATTGTACCGGGATGCTGGTTCAGCGGCAAATAAAGTTATCCTTAATCCGTTAGCTGTTTCTCAGCATTACGAACCACCTGTATTCATTTCTACTGCATTTGGATGCAGGCATGAGCTGGTTCCTCCCAGCACTTTGCTTCATTACATACATCTCCCCATACCATTGCCACATAAACAATAAACAGTGGTTGCTCACGTAGCGGACACACATTCAGCACACACATTAGAAAACAAACATTCCAACCATTAGAGGCATGTTACTTACAAGAGATACCAGACGTTCAGTAATTACTGCACAGACACTCCCATGTCCTGGCTCTTTTTGTTCTATCTCTCATCAAGTCTGCTTTCAGGGTTCTGCTGTTGCTTTGCGTCATTTACAATTACTCTCTTATTTTACTACACATTATTGATTATTTTCTGTCAATCTTTGTTTGCTTGTTTTTTTTATTAAATACATGTTAAAATATAGAATAATAAATGCATTTATTTTTGTTTTCCTTGTGAAAAATATGTTAATGTGTTTTTTTGAAAGAGATAACAGATGTCAACTTTGGTAGCTGTAAGGAGATAGTATGCATTGCTTCTTCTTTGATCATTTACTGTGAAGCAGCTCTACTGGACTTTATTTCTGCCATTTTAACTGTCATCTTGTGTTTGGCTAAAGTTGGACAGATGTTGTAAACAAGTAAAACGCTGCCTCATCACTCACCGTCTCGACTCATGTTATCTCCTAGACTCGCCTGGAGGCTCAAACTCCCAGCAATCCACAAACAGCTTCTGATGAAAAAGCTGATGCAGCTTTCTGGGTATAATCAGTCACTGAGTTTTTCATGCAGACTGAATATGAAAACAGTCTCCAACACATATCTCCTGCATTAGCTTCTGATAGAAAATAGATGGTGAAATGCTAGGATTTGAAAAGCCTGACAGATCTACGTCAACTGGTTGCTTGGACTCAACATCTTGTTGGGGGCAGCAGTAGGTCAGGAGGTTGCTGGTTATCCAGTAATCGGAAAATTACAGGTTTGATCCCAGCTCTTGACTGAGAATTCTGCTGTTGTGTCCTTGGGCAAGACATTTAACCCATCTTGTCTGCTGGTGGTGGTCGGAGGGACCGGTGGCGCCAGTGCTCGGAAGCCTCGCCTCTGTCAGGGCAGCTGTAGCTACATTGTAGCTCATCACTACCAGGGTGTGAATGTGTGTGAATGGATGAATGATGTAGTGTAAAGGACTTTTGAGTCCTCTGACTCTGAAAGGCGCTGTACAAGTGTGAATCATTCATCATTCAGCTCACAACGGGGAAGTTGTTGTTTAGGGTCAGCAGCAGAGAACATCTCGGCTAGCAGAAGCTAACCATTTGCATTAGCGGCTTCACAACACGGTGAACATCAGAAGAGCAACGATTTTCACTTTCCTCAAGATCTATTTTATTTGTAAAATAAAACAGATGAAAAACACAAGCTTCACCGCACGTTACTAAAGAAAACACACCCCGTGTACACACAGATTTCCTTACAGGCAGCATACAAGGAAGAACAGATAACACGGCAAGTGCTGCCACCCTTTGGTGACATAATGTATTGCAGCAGCGACAGCAGCAGCTGCTTCAATGGCAGGCTTATGCTATTTGTGGAGATAAACCATCCATGTCGCAGAACTGAGGCAGTGGGAGAGTCGCGTTGTTGTTATCCAAACCAATATCTTAGACTTAAACTCTCGTAAACTGATTGTTACTTTTTATTGTGCATATTTCTTTTCTTTCTTCTCTTTATAATTTATGATTGTAAAAGTCCGTCTGGGGACAAATTCTACTAATTAGCTGTAGCTAAAAGCATTTTGCTGCATACATGGGGCTGCGGTTGTATCTGTCCCTATAGAAATAAACGAAACAAAGCGAATCTGGGTAGTGCTTGTCTTTGTCTATCATGAAGATCAGCAGCTGCATTAGGCTCCAACATGTTTAAATCTGCCCATCACATGCTGACAAATGGTATTTTGACTGTAAATTTTAACAAAAGAAATGTGTGGCCTGGACCAACTGGGCTGACTTGATTTGTGCGTTTGGGCATACCCAGTTTGTGGGAACTGCTATTTCCACACCTAATCCACAATTTGCCTTCATCGGTGTGATTCCAAGAACAACAAAGCAGCAGCTGAAAATCTGAGCTGCATTCATGCTTTGATTTAAAATGATGGTACAAAACACAAACCACACAATTTACGAACACATCAACAAAGAAACACAAATGTTAGGCTGAGAGGTTTTCAGCTGACCATCGTTGCGTGTTTCCATCAGTGTGGCAGAAGTTTTAAAGGCTTTTTAAAACACTGATACGCTTTTATATAGTAGTTATATGAATATCTCCTTTATCGTGACCATTTTGAACTATATATTTGTTTCAGACTATAATAATCTCTCTCTGAAATTTCAAGAGCTCTTTTTAATCCAGCTACCTCAGAGACACATTTTTTTCTCAAATACCAAATCTAATTTGATCCATCTGCCTGCCATGACGCCTTTCACGTGTTTTATTGTGTCTAAATGGAGTAAAACCACCCAAATTGTTTATCTGAAATAATGCCCATATTTTAGAAACACAAAACTATTTAAGATTCACGTTTTTAAGCTTTTAATTTCACAAAAGGTTGAAAAAAACATGTTTTATCAACAACAATCATATAAAGGAGAATGCTGTGGGAAGAACACAGACCACTGTTTTTCAACTCCATATAATCAGGACAGACAATAAATGACCTCTATACAGGTTTTTATCATGTTATTCCAAATGACTCATGCATTGGTACAATGAAACTTTAATATTCCAAACTATTCCCCCGCTCAAATCTTTTTGAACAATACACACAGAAATATATAAAAGCTCTAAAATAAATGTTACTGTCATGAATATAAACTAAAGTAATTCTTAAAAAGTAATATGGTATAAAATATACAATACTGTTAAAAATGAAGTGTTATTGATACAGATACGGGTATTCAAATCTTATAAAAATGACATCTGTTCAACCTGTACATAATGTTTTTATCAGCATAATACAACATGTAAATAAGGACTACTGTGGCAAACCAAATAACTCGCCAGAGAAGATATTTCAGTTGCTATGAGGATCATTTGACCCCCAAAAATAGCTGCGGCAGAAATGATAAAATGTGGTGTGATTCTATTTACATTAAAGAGCAACTGGATGCAAGTGCTCAGGGCACGTCTTTCTTGTTGGCATTTGCCAGTCGAACGTTCTCCCCCTCCGCTCTCTCCTTCTTTTCGCGTGCTTCTCCCTCCACGTGGATACCAACCATCAACTGATAAATGACTGTGCCAATGATGGCGCCAATGAACGGGGCAATGATAGGCACCAGGAACCAGCCGTTTCCAACCCTGAGGGAACATCAAAGGAGAAGTTTGGTTGGAGGGACGACGGTAAATCCTTTACATAAAAATACATCTTCATGAAGAAAATGCAGGGATCATTTCATTTTTGCTCGCTTTACGTCTCTCTGGTATTGTAAAAGAAATAAAATTACAAAAATCTGCACTTACGTGAACACTTCGCCTCCCCAGCCAGCTATGGCGGTGAAAAGACGTGGACCGAAATCTCTGGCAGGGTTAACAGCATAGCCAGAATTAAAGCCCATGGAAAGTCCAATGACCAGAACCACAAACCCCACAGTGAAGGCCTCCAGCCCTTGGGGGATGGGATTGTTGTATGGATCCACAATAGCCAGAATGCAAACGATCAGTGCTGCTGTGCCAATAAGCTGTGAGGGGAGGGGGAGGTGCATGTTAGAGGAAGCTCAGTTCCACTGTCATAAATATAAAGGTTCATGTATTTGTTCAAATAAAATACCTGGTCAAAGAAGCCATTGAGAGTAGTGAGGTGGGTTCCAGGGTAAGTAGCAAAGATGCCAGCGGTGACACCAGAGCCAGTAACATTGAACGCTCCCTCAAAATCCCACAAGGCATCTAAAAATGACACAAACAACTAACAGTAATGCAGCGTCCAGTTTGTAGATCTGTGTGATGAAATTGGAGTGTGAACATAGCTTAGTTGGGCTACAGCTTGGTCATCACTTACCATAGTACATGCCAAAAATCACAGCAGCACCAAAAAATGCACCAATTGTCTGAAACAGGAAGTACATGGGGAACTTTCTCCAGCGTTCTCTTCCAAGCAGGCACAGCGAAAAGGTCACAGCAGGGTTCAGATGACCACCTGTGACATGATGATATACAAATTTACTATGAATTCATAGTGAAAAAGAACCGTAAAGTTTGACTAATTGACTCTATATTATAATGAAGTGCATTATGGGTTAAAGTTGTGGTTTAGATCTTTGGAAGTGAAGTTCTTTAGAAAGGCAAAGGTGTAAACACAATCCCACCTGCTGTTGATACCTCTGAACAACCTCAGTATGGACTAATAAAGATGGATATAATCAGATTGACAAGCTAACAGCTAGTCCTAGTGGGCTCAAGATGAAAGTGACTTGCTGTCATCCTAAAATTACCTCAATCCAAAAATTTAATGATGGTTTCTCAAGATATTTTTCGAGAACGTGTTGTGCTGAGTTACGGCTAACACTACTGATGACCGGATCGGACAAAGTGGAAGACAATAGATGGATGAATGAAGATGCAACAGAGTGCACCAAAGCTCCCAGGAACAATCTTTCAGTATGTGTTTGAACCAGTTTGACGCAGATTGCTTTTGCTTCTATTTTCTTGAGTGATTTGGTCCACACGGCTCAGATCAGGTGGAGATGCTATTTACAATCTTGCAGCCTCCTAAAACAATCTCCTAATACTGCTTGCTGATCACGTGACATGTGACACACATGGATGAAAATTGACTTTAGAGCCGTGATGTTTACTCTCAAGGTGCGCAAGCGCGTTCCCATGCCAGTCCAGTTAAAAAACGCTGAGTGGCAGTGAGCGGTTGTATTTAAAATGACGACTTAAATTGTCAATGGCAGTGAATGACTTAAATAATAACTTTTGTGTTTCCATCAGTGTTAAACACGAACTAGCTTGGTTCAGGAGTTGTTTGTCCTGTAACCAGTGTGGTAGGATATGTATGTGCTTTAAACACTCCCACTGTCCTTGAGGTCCACATGGCAGGTGTGAGGATTGAGCACCACCTCACCTCTGCCACATGGACCTCAAGTGATAAACCATCAACCCTGCTCAATGGTCACCTTTCCTGGAGGGGTCACCCCATAGGACAGTGGGAGGTTTAAAGAGCAAGTCACCCACTACCAGAGTCTGGGCTATTCCCATCTGTACCGGGTCGGCCCGGGCTGGGTAGCCCCAGTCGGCCCCAGCCTGGCCCGGTTGATTCCATACATCCTTGTCTTAAGCCCATGTGGGCTGATTCTACCCACCAATCAGAGGCTTGCTCTAATGGAAGGTGTGAATTTGCTGTCAGCAGTGGGTGTGTTGGCCCTGGTCAACCTGAAGCAGACCCCCTCGAGAAGAGGACTGAGAATGAGCCTTGGTTGGCCCGGAAAAATACCTGGCCACCCAGATATGTAAACAGCCTACGCTACCCGGCCCGGGCCGACTCGGTACAGATGGGAATGGCCCATTACTCTACTCCCACTTCCTGTTTAAAAAATGCAACAAATGATGTTGAATGGCAGACCGAGAGGGCGGAGCCACTAACAAACACACACACACACATGCAGTCTCACAACGACATTGTGAAATCATAATGTTCCAGCTAATTTCATAGTGGACTCCTTAGCCAATTCCAAAGCCAGATTTAAATTCAAATGCAGTGCAGAGTTTTTACCTGAAGACAGGACACTGACACTGACAGTTTTAGGCAGAATATCTAAATTTGCACTAAAGTGCCAAATTATTGACAACAAGTGTCTACAGCACGATTAGAAGCTCATTTATATAATTTATCAGCAAAAAAAAGTTGATTTGGGGGTGACTTGCTCTTTAAATTAGCATTTAACCCCTTACATTTCCAGGTTTAATGAACACAATGGAGTTTTGTCCCATGGACGGGAAGCTGGAATGCTAAGGGGTTAAACACTTTCCCATTTTTACTGTGATAAACGTTATGTTTAATAAAGTAATTTAAACAAAAAACAGCCTGTCAGGGGGTGGGTGGGCGTGGTCAGCAGCAGCTTGTTACCCTTTAAAGCAGGGATGTCCAGACTTTAAGATGAAGGCCAAAATCATGAAGTTAAAACTCCTCACGGGCAACAAAAAAAAAATTTAAGAATGCAAACATTATTTTATATTTTTCATTTGTTCAACAAAAAAAACTGTCTAAAATAGTTAGTAAAATATTAATAAAATATTAAATAAATCAAGCATATAATAAAATATTATATAAAATATTAGTGAAATTTTGAACATAAAACATTAAAATATATGAATTTGTATCAACAGCCTCCTGGAGAAACTTAATGACAATTCTAAAAACGCTAGTGAGGGCCATGCAAAATCACTCCAAGGTTCGCAAATGGCCCCCAGGCCGTACTTTGGACACCCCTGCTTTAAAGTAAGAATGCCCTGAAGTGGGTCATTCTGGAAGCTACTGAAAATGTTAAGAACAAAGCTGGTGGGATGATTTAGATGACAGGGACTTTGTGCAAAACACTTCATGAACACATTTGTATAGACCATAGAACTAACTTTTCAAAAAGACATCATCTCCCCTTTAAAACTTTTCCTTCGGTTGTGCTCCAGCAGATGTTTTTGGTTGAGAAAATCCTTGGTTTGGACACATTAACTCAGGTAACTGGAAACTGAACACCTCAGCTCCAACCTTGGCAGAGGAATGTGTTTGCCTACCTGAAACCTGGCCACAGACCAGGATGCCTAAGGTGGCACCGAAGCCAAAAGCGAAGTTGACAGTGAGGAATATAGCATGTGAGCCAGAGCTCAGCACATGTTGTGCCAGAGCACCACAGCCAAACATCTGGAAGAAAGAAAACAAAGTTTACTCAGGTTTAGAAGTTAGATTCGTTTAAGTCGCTTTTTTTTTCTTTTTATTTGTGTGATTTATTTATTTATTTGCACAACAGTGTAAAATTAATTTATACTACTGACTCCCTCAGTGATTTCCCTCCCTGGGTCCTCTACTCACACTTACACACTCGAGTATTTAGCAGCAGAACACCACTGGTGTGAGAGGTTCTTCGCTCAATAATGTCGGAGAATGTGAAATAGCAGACTGCTACCACTACAACTTTAGGACAAATAACCAGAGTCTCAAAAAGAAAAACACCTTTTGAATTCACGGACAACAAAATATGTTTGGACCTAGAAAATGGTGACTAGTGTTTAGCGTTATCTCACTTTGTTCGGCATTGCGAGCTTCCGGTTCATCGAAACGTCTCAGGTAAGATACCTGAGGGAAGAGGTAACATTGTTTGTGTTCAAAACCTAGCTTGTTTGCATATTCACCATAAAGATTTCAAGCTGGTTATTGTTTTTGTGGCAAGGTGGGGAAATGAGGGCCCAGGCGGGTTTGATCCCTGGACTCCCGGGTAAGAGTCACGCACACTAACCAGCCAGCCAAAGGCATATCCCCGTGGCCAAGTAGTCAGGGCGCATGATCAATCAGGATACAGCGACAGGACGCTCCCCCATCACATTTTGTTTGACATTTCAATAGCAGATATTTTGATTTCACCTGGAGAAGTACTTCCTCCCAAAACATTTTCTGACTTCCTCCAACCCATTTCGACATTTCAATGTTGCTTAAAGGAACATAAATCCCGTAGAAGTGGATTTTTGTCATTCAGTAAAGGTCGGGCGACTGAGTGAGGGATGAAAACGAGACTCTATGATGATTATCATTGAAACCAGTCAAACAAAAAGCTGTTGAATCAGTTTAGCTCAGAAATAAATGAGCTTCTTGTGTTCACACGGGCCTACGGTATTCTCTATGAACGGTAGAGAAGTCGCAGGGCCATCCAAGGTTTGTGGGGGAATGTTGCTGCTACTTTGCAGATGGTCTATTCTAAATTCAGAGTTTGGAATTGGAGTGATGGAGAGAAAGATTTACTGGATTGTTGTCTAAAAACCATTCTTGTGAGCAGGTCGCAGACTGTGTTGGGTTTCCTGCTTTGTAAGTTTGTGTGTCTTCTTTTTACGAGGTTGGTTTTAGAAATATGTGTGGTCCACACTTAGGCCGCTACTTTCTCAACCCTAGAATGAGGACACTATTCAGTAAAACCACTTAGATGTGGTTAGCTGGACCAAACCACATAAAGAGGGACTGGCGCCTGAAGTGCAATCACAGTCACTGAGCTTCACTCATTTCATTGCCAAAAACAAAAATTTGCAACATATAAAGATTTTTTTGGTCCAGTGATAAAAATGTGACTGTAGAAAATGCAAACGATTTTTAATGCATGTGCACCAGTGACCACTGTGACCAGAGGCATCATGTTTACAGCAAAGCTAAGTATGTGCATTCCATTTTTATGAAAACATTTCTAGAGAAAGCCTTGAGGATATTTCTGCAGAGTTTCCACAGACATTCGCTCAGACTCCAGGATGCAATAACTAGATATTCACAGTAGGAAGTAAATATTACTTGAATCTTCTTTGTTTTCCTGTTTTTAAAAATTGAATATTATTCAAAATCCTCTAATAGTTTGAGCTACCACCTTTTAGCTTCAAGATTAACATCCGCGTAGTGTTTTAAGAAAAAAATACAAGTTTAAGAACAGATTTAATGGATGTAAATGTGCTTGTAAAAGCAGTGCAACTACTCTGCCATAATTCTAGTTCTTGATGTCAAAAGCAATAAATTAAGGTTGATGTGCCGTCACTTTAGAAGTGCCCACCTCTTGCTGTAGCTCACTCTTCAACAGAAAGATGTTCCTCCATATTCTCTGCTTGTTGTCATCCTGCTGCAGTTTAACGTATTTAGCCCTGAAGCCAGCAAGAAACTGGCTGATTTAGCAGGTCCTGAGTTTACTTCAAACTCTGGGAGCTTGTAAAAAAAAAAAAATCCCAACAGCCAGTGCAGAGAAACACGTTTGGCAATTGTCCAAGAGCTGCAGGCAAAAGATCTGGGTTGGAACCTGCCTTTAAATTAGTACCTGTGTCTTTTTTTTTCCAGATTCAGTGAGGCACCCACAATCCTCAGAGAAATCACTGTCAGCTTCAGCTACAGCAAAACAAAATGCATCTTTTCTAATAGTGATTAACCCAACTTCTGTAGTCTTTCCCTTAGGATGCTTTATCCAGAGATGCACACACAGCAAAACTCTACATCTAGTGCAAACTTAAGGAAAAAACATTTTATTTCCATGATTATTTTGTAATAAATGAAGTCAAAGTTAGACGATTTTAACATCCTTAGTTTAGGGACAGTCTGACTTCTGTCAGCTCTTACTGAGGAAACCAAATCCTGCTTGGTTCATTATTGATTAAAACCCATTGTTCCAAACGGACTCTCCCCAAATGACATTGGCACATGTCGCCTGTTCCACGACCACGCCCTTCACATGCGTCCTGAGTCTCACCATTGCATTGTTTTAGCCTAAAGTTTTTTTTCTTCTAATCACTAAATAAACATCAAAGCATGCCTCGTCCCCACATTTGAATCATTACAACAGCATTTAGGCTTTCCACTAAGTTGGACACATTTTTAGAGGCTTAACTTTAAAGCCTTCTCATCCTAAAAGCAAATTAAACAATTCTTCTTAAAGTGTCAGATCCTTTTAACTTTTATTTTTAGCAGCAAATAATGGAAGAAAAAAATCATGCATTCACCATTAAATAACTTAACAATAAACTAATATTTTAATAGGATGATTTGAGTCTTTAGTAAAGAAAGTGCAAATGTGCAGCTTACTGCCTCTTCTGATCATGCGTGTTCTTATTTACACACACCTGACAAGTGATATAAAAACACAACAGGAGGACATAGCTCCAAGATCCTGTCTCCCAACAGCTCCTCAAAACACCCCCCACAATCAAATGAAATGTTGTTAACATCAAACATTCCTTTTTCTGTTTGGTCTCAGTTCATTTTCTTGTTTAGCTTTGAACACTTGAGCCGAAGGTGTTCAGTCTGCAGAGATCATCAACAAGTTGGTTCTGATGACTCGTGAGGTGCATTTGCTCTTTGTGCAGCACAGGTGTGCACTGACGACTTCAGAGCAATTACATGACTCAAGCCATGCTTTTTAATCTTAAATTTACTATGAAAACTACTGGGATTGTCTCTAATCTCTTTAAGGATAACGTCTTACATCAAAATCACACACACTTACCACAAGGACGAGGGTGCCGAGACACTCTGCCAATGACTGGCGAAGCAACTTATTACGGATCTGAAAGAACCGGGACAGTTTGTCTAGGAATGCCTTCTGTCGACCCATGCTGTCAGAGGATGAGGAGATTGTAAGTAAACAAATGTAGCAGGTGTAGTTTCCTGAGTGGCAGTTAAGCTGGGAAGGTGAACAGAACTCCCTTAAATAGCTGAGCGGGGCTGGGCTGGTCAACCTCAGACCCAGCCTCTGCCTAACAGAGTTAGATTTAAAGTAGGATCCTTTTCTCTCCCTGAGTCTCTCTCTCTCTCTCTCTCTCTCTCTCTCTCTCTCTCTCTCTCTCTCTCTCTCTCTCTCTCTCTCTCTCTGAAGTGTGCCATTAAACAACCACTTGTTTCTTCCCTTGAGTCAGATCTTCCGTTCTTCTTCCAATTAGAAGAAAAACAATCACAGAGGTCTTGTTCTACTCTTACAATGTTTTTAAATTATTTTTAAAAGTACCTGATAAAGCACAGGAACAGCAGAAGCATATTAGAGTTTGATGCAAATCACTGCTACTTCTCTAAAAACATGAGAAGTGCAGCACTGATCTCATTACAAATCAGTCGGCACCAATCCCCATTCAGTCCCTGATGTGTTTCAGAGGTTTTGCTTTTAGTGCTTAGTAACTCAAAAATTGACCAGAAGATAGTTTTTCTTTACTTGGTTTGGTTTTTGTTTGATAAATATGAGTGCAGAACCTCGAAGGTTTATTTTCTGGGGAAGGTGGCTACAAAACATGGCAGTGAGTGAAACAAAAGTCTCCCAGAAGTGTTTTACTTCGGGTTTTTTTTTTTTTTTACCAGTCGTAGACATCCAAAGGGTTTCGAATGAAGGCAGCTGGACTTTTTGGTTTCTTAAAGATGTTTTGCTTCTCCTTGGAGGAGCTTTGTTAATTCTGACTGGAATGAGGGTCAGGCTCGTACATTGTAGGAGTCGTTAGCCTCTATAGTGTGAAAGTCGCTGTACTGATTAGATGCAGGAGGGTGTGACGTAGACTGAAACTGTTTGGGAATCAGGCTTTGTCAGACAAGTGACATGGCTGTCCACCACACCTTTCTTGCGCCGTTTTGAACGTGTGACTCCCATTGCTAGGGGAGGCCCACGTTGAAGCAGCACACAAGAGTCAAAAGGATGGAAAAGAACAAGGACAAATGCATCCTTAACAGAGACGAACGTGTGAGGGAGGGTAGGGGTCAGTGTTTTCAGAAACTGTTTACAACTGACATTGTAGATCCCCACGACCTCAAAGGAAACAAATGGAGCGCAGATGTTTCATCACTGCCTTTAACTATCGCTTTGGATGTTACAAACTATCTAGTGTTTGGGATCAGCGCATTCACATGTCAGCAGTTTAAAAAAAACAATCACTGGAGGTATTTGGACAACTAATATTTAGTAATATTTACTAGAGTAACATCAGATCTAATCATTTCCAAACTGTCATCTTTCAGACTAATTTATTTAAAGCTGTGGATAATTTATAATGTTTTGAAGTAAAAAAGAAAGAAATTATACAAATAAATAACATAATAATGTTTAATCAGAAGAAAGGCTTTTCTCTGCCCTCTATGTTTTGGCAGTTTGGGAAATGGCAACTTTACAGCCCAAAAACAGACATTCAGTAAGATCGCTTACACAAAACAATTGTTTTACTAGCTTTTATGAAAACGCTGCAAGCGAACACGTGAGTGGGAAGATGTGGGTTCAAAAGATATGACCTTCCTTCCAACAGCTGAGACCTAGGCCGTTCAACATCTCTGTTAGTTCTCCTATTTTCTGATCTGAATCTCTGATCTGAAAAAAACATCTTATGTTGTTATCAAGTTTTTGATTCTTGAAATTGCGTGACCTGGCATGGCAGCCCTGCACACAACACGAGTGTACCGTTTTCTGCAGGTTCATGAGCTCACAACACACAAAACGACCAATGCTTCTGATGTTTATACTATCCCATCATGCAACGCTCTTACAGCACCCGATACGTCAAAGAGCGATTAGGTTCAGAGCTGGATTATAGGTGTTGGAAAGGTGAAACCTCACACCTCCTCTTCTTTTTAATGTAGGTTTTTTTCCTGTATGACATATAGCTTCCTTTACTCCTCTCTCAAACCATACCTTCTCTGTCCAGAATGTGTACTTAGTCATCTTCAAAGGTGTGCCCCCGTGTTTTTCAGACATAGGTGGACTGCAGAGGCTTGACCTGAAGAGGTGGCTCGCCTTATTTTGCAGTTTCTCCAATGTAAAGGTCTGGACACTCCTCACTACATTGGACTGCATAAACAACGCCTCTAAGCCTCTGTTTGGATGGACCAATGTGTGTCTGAGCGTATTGTTGGGTTCAAAGTTGACCAGGATGTTGTGTTTGGAGAAAATTCTTCTCAGTTTCTCTGAGATTCCTGCCACATACAGGATGACGGGTAGTTTCAGCTTGTTAAGCAACAGTTTAAAAGCCTGACTCTCACATATTTCAGTCAGAATCAACAAAGCCCCTGGAATGAGAAACAAAATGTCTTTAAGAAACCAAATAAGTCCAGCTGCCTTCATTCAAACCCCTTTGGATTACCAGGACCTGGATGACTGACAATCTTCACCAGTTGTAGACATGTTCATGAATATCTTTGGAAAATTAAAGTGTGTATGTGACCAATGAGCTGACTGCTAGTTTGACCTCAGCCATGACCAAAGTGCACTGCGCTGTAAAATAACTCCAATCTCCTAAATCTCATGATGGTACTTGTAACACCCTTTCAGAAATAACATCACCATCAATTTTGTTTTACGCTAATATGTTGTTGGACTTCAGTGTTATTTACAAGCCTAAATATGACCTGAAACAGCTGAATGTAGCTCGTTTGATGCAAACGTAAGTCAAGTCCAGCATTGGTGAGGTTATTCCAGGCTTTTTAGATCTGTCACTGGGGATTTTGGCCATTTTTATTTGTCAAAATGACTTGATATCAGAATGAGTTATGAGTTTTGCCACCTTGATATTTGTTTATTTGATCAACATAACATTTGACCATGAACACACATACAATGAAACCATCAGTGAAAACATACATGTATGTTTATGTTTATTCATTTAGCAGACGCTTTTATCCAAAGCGACTTACAATTTATAACCTATGGGGCATGTTGTGATCTGTGGGGGTAACCGGAGTACCCGGAGGAAACCCACGCATGCATGGGGAGAACACGCAACTCCACGCAGAAAGGCTGCAGCCGAGTTTCGAACCTGCAACCATCGTGCTGCGAGGCAACAGTGCTAACCACTGCGCCACCATGCAGCCCAATATGTAATATGAGAATGCTGCAAATGAGGTTCAACTTAATCAACATTGCTCATAAACATCAAGTGTAACAATAATTGACAAGTTTGGGAACCACAGACCATTACTCTGAGTTTTACCACAGAACTTATCAGAACCAGCACAAACACTCAGAACCTTGACAGCTCACTAACCACACACTCGTTGCTAATTGACTCTTCACATTGTACTTTATTTCAGCTTTACCCTCCCTTCGCTTTTCCTGAGACTACTCTGCCTCTGTTGGAAGGGGTGATGGCACAATCTCAGTTCTCTCTTGCGTGTGGTGGCAGAGCAATTTTCACTGAGCTAACTGAAGGAACAGGAATGTGGTCATCAAACGACTTATTACGAAATCTAAACAACGTTCTGAACATGATGTCATCTCAGTGACATGGAATTCTGTTTTGGTGCACACACACACACACACACACACACACACACACACACACACATACACACACACACACACATCATTAAGATGACATAATTTTTCAAAGTGAGAAAATGTTTTGGTCTTCGCTTAATTTTAAATGTCCACCAGTTGGCTTTAGAGGTTTGGTGTGAATTAAGTTTTAGTTGGGATTGGAAAACATCAGCATTGGTTATGACAATGTTAGGATATGGGTCAGGCATAGTGGAGTCATTAGGATCAATAGAAGTCAGTGGATAGTCCTGACAAACATCTGTGCTTGTGTGCTTGTGTGTGTGTGTGTGCTTGTGTGTGTGTGTGTGTGTGTTTGTGTGTGTGTGTGTGTGTGTGTGTGTGTGTGTGTGTGTGTGTGTGTGTGTGTGTGTGTGTGTGTGTGTGTGTGTGTGTGTGTGTGTGTGTGTGTGTGTGTGTGCTTGTGTGTGTGTGCTTGTGTGTGTGTGTGTGTGTGTGTGTGTGTGCGTGCGTGCGTGCGTGCGTGCGTGCGTACGTGTGTGTGTGTGTGTGTGTGTGTGTGTGTGTGTGTGTGTGTGTGTGTGAATGAGGAGGTAATGTGGGGAATTCTTAAACATTGCTTTGAGTTGTTTGACTGATAAAGTTTTATCTATAAAAGCTGTCTAGTTAGTAATTGACTTCATGATAGCTTCAGAGTTAATGAGATGGCGGTTTAAGGTTCATTAAGGTTTGTTGTGTGAAATTTCCATGAACCTCTGTGAAATTTCAAAAACCATGAGCTAAAATATGACTCAGCTATAGCTCATCTAAATGTGAATCTCTCCAACAGAGGACATCCGGGTAGTCATCTACATCAGGAAGTAATTCTCCACTGCTTTTTACACACTTACACACTTGAAAGTGGCCAGACAAATCCATCAAATGCATATTTTTTCCAAACCAAATCAAGACCATGGTTTACAGAAAGCCCACTCAGTGCCTAGTGTTACAATATTTCATCTCCTCACATCTTAGTAAACAAAATCTCAAAGAATCACCAATGAATCATGGGTTTTCCTGGTATATGGTATTCACTAGAATACACAGTTTATTGTCCTGAATGTTTCTTTACCCTCATTCAGATACTCAAAAGAGCAGGTTCGAGTTGTAATTCATGCTTATACCAGATCACTCCCACCTATTCATGCAAGTGTTTTCATTTTTCTTCACGTTTCCTCCCATAACGTTTCCTCAAAATATTCTGTTGTCTTCTGTTTGAAACCTGCCTCATCTACTTTCAACAGAGATGTGAGCACATGCTTTCTATTAGCACTCAGGCCAGTTTCATTAGCTCTGATTTCCATTCTTGTTTTTGCAGTGAGTAGAAAATGTAACTCACTCAAATCAGATTTACTGCACAGTCTGTGAGCATTTAAAATCCCAAATTTCAGTCAGTACATGTGAGTCATTTGTGAATGCTCCACAGCAGTGAAAGTGATCAACTTTCGTGACATTCAAAATCTTAATTAAAATCATGTGGATGGTGTTTCA